AAATTTATATTTCATATAATACTTAAAAAGATCTTTTTTTACAGCTTAGAATATCTTAATTTGAATTTAATTAAAATAGATAGAATTAGATTTTTATCTTCAACATCAACAGATAAGACTGCTTTGTTTCCAATGCTATGTCATCTACATACATATTTCAGAAAGCTACATATCAGAGGTAAAAAGTTAGGTTTTTATAGATAGCATTGATGCAGTAAAAATTTTATATCAAAATTTCTAACTAAACCATTTGACATAAAATTTTAGTGGCAATCGATTAGCGAATTAGATAAATTATAAAATCTAGAAAACTTGAAATTTAGAGAAGATCCCATTTTGAAAAACGAAACTGTAGAGACTGCTCGACAATTGATAATTGCAAGGATAGCGAAATTAAAGATCTTAAATGGTACAGAGATACCTCATAATGAAAGGAGAGGCGCAGAGCACAATTATTTGAAATTGTCCTTACCAGTGTGGCTAGAAACCGAAAGTAATTCAGAAAAGCGAACATCATTTATAAATAAACATCCCCGATATCCTATTTTAGTCAGTAGTATGTATGAACTTTACATTTCTTACAGTAAAAAATACTTTAAATGTAAAATAAAACATAGTTTCTAGAAAAAAAAAATATTTTACACTTTCAGAATATGGAATTGCGGATATTCCTTCAGCTAAACTGAAAGTGGAAATGGTTTCCAATGTGATGACGGTGGAATTTGTATGTCCGGACGATCCACGTCAGTCTAGAGGGATTAAAAGGAAGTTACTTAAAGATGTGGAAGTTCAAAAAATGATTGGGCTTGTTCAAAAATCGGTTAATGAAGCAGGCCCTAAAATTCTAAGTATATTTTAATTAAAAATAACATGTACTTTTAATGTAAAATATAGGAGACTGATTTACATTAATAAAATAAATTAAAGTTTTAAATGAAGAAAAATTAAATTACATTTTGTAAGCATAAAAGAATTGATTGGTCCATTATGCATGTGCATAAGGAAATAGACCAATCCGTTTCTTTATACATATGGTTATGCACCTGTGCAAGTTTGTCTGGATAGACTTTTAAACGGGGAGCATACACTTCTGCACAATGCATAAACATAAGAAAATCGATTGGTCCATACACATGTGCATAAGGAAATAGACCAATCAATTTTCTTATACTTACGCATTATGCTTTGTGCAGAAGTGTTCCCCGCTTTAAGGTCATACATTAAAAGTACATGTTCTTTTTAATTAGGATATATACTTAGAAATATTTTTTCTCAACAAAAATATTAAAAAACTTAAATATTGTAAAAGTAAATAATGTTTCTGATATAAAGCTTTAGACAAAAAATCTGCAGAAAGAGAACTTGAAGTGGAACAATTTACAATATTTGCAATAAAATAATGATATTTTATGTCATTCTTTATTGTTTAAATATATATATGTGTGTAATACAATATTTTAATGTGTAATATATAATTGAATAATACTAATAATGTTCAGACATAATAAATGTAAGACTTTCAACAAACAGAAGAAACGTTTTTAATATAAAGAATCCAATCCAATTATTTGTCATTTAAACAAGAACATCATTCCTTTTAATCTAAGAATATTTTAATCCAGTTTACTCTTCTTATTTGGGTGCTACAAAAAGAAAGTACATTATTTGTTTATGTCATATATTTAGATATTTAGGTAATTAAAAAAAGAGAGGAATCTATAGTCTTAACCCTGTTCTGATCATCATGAATATTTTATGTCCGACCACTTTTTCATCTATTTATTAAAGTAGTTCAAAAGATTGCAAAAAATTTACGAAAATATTTTCAAGTTTCTAGAATTGAATTATTAAAGATTAATTACAATTTTTTAAAGTGTCATTTTTCACAAAGTAAAGTAAAAGTGAAAAGATATAATTATAATATAATTTTCATAAAAATAATATATAAGTAATTACGAATATATATTACATAAAGTACATGGATTTTTTATTTCTCAAAAGTTAATGACTATTGTATTGTAAATAATTATTTAAATCCTTATTTTTATTAATGTCAATGTTTATTTATTTGTATGTTTACTACCTGTTGTCGAATTATCCTCTGTAGTTCTTTTAAGATTACGAGAGGCTTTTATAACTGTTTTCAATGGTATATGTCCATCTATCTGTGAAAGATCCTTCAAGTGTTGTACTATAAAATATGGTGGGTCAACTATGAAGAAATATAATATATATAATTATTATAAAAAAGTATAATGTCAATAATTATATATTTAAAAGAAAAATTAATTTTAATTTGTATTTCATCAATAATGAAAAATTTGTTTCTTAATCTTGATATAGAAAAGAGAGAATTATTGAATGCGTACTTGCAAGTTCCTAAAACGTACTTTTTCAATGTTTTATATATTTTTTTAATATATATAAGAATAAGTTGTTCTTATTATATAAACTAAATTTTAAAATAAAATAAATTTTATCAGTAATAAATAAGAATATTTTACCTGTAGTTTGTATTTTGCCAATTACTTTAATTTTATCACCTTTGTTTAAATCAAGATCACAATAAATTTCTTCGTCAAAATATATTA